GGGCCCCATCACCTCCCAGCATTGCTCATTCTGTAGATCTAAGGTGACTCCGACAACTTGCATCGAGCAAGCTTCCCAGTGCAACTGATGAGGCAGGCCCATGGACCAGCTTTCAGAACCACCCAACTGGGAGCCAGCGTTGTGGTGTAACGGGTAAAGCCACTACATCATCATGCTGACATCCCGTGTGGACACCAGTTTGAGTTCTGGCGGCTCCACTTTTGATCCATCTCCCTGCTAATGGCCTGGGGAAAGCAGTGGAAGATGGTCCAAGTGTTTGGACCCCTGCCACCTTCATGAGAGACCTGGAGGAAGCTCCTGGCTCCCGACTTACGCCTAGTCTGTCCCTGGTCATTGCAGCCATTTGGGGAATGAGCCAGAGGATGGAAGAAATTTCTATCTGTGTATGTCTCTCTCTCTCTCTCTACCTCTGTATCTCTGACTTTCAAAATAAATTTTAAAATCTTAAAAAAAAAAAAAAACCACTCAGCTATGTAAAAAGCTCAACCTGCACCTCATGAGTACACGTGAAACTTTAGCCATCGCTGAGAATGGGCAGTCAGAACTTGTTTCATAAAAGGCTTCCCAAATCTTGTCTGTCTGAAAATTCTCCCCAAGGGGCTTGCTCGGATTGAGGAATAAAAAATGCAGGTCCCTTCGAGCTTCCTTTTCTCAGAAGCTGAGCCACATGGCACGGCACCTGTGCCTAAACACGGCTACTTGATGTGTTGCTTTTGGCTGCTCTCACGTATCTTTTCACTGCCAATAAAGTTGTTGCGATTGAAAGAGACCATCTGTGTGAGGCTGCAGGTAATGCCAGAGTGAAGCTGTTGGCCCAGCAAAGCGCTGCTCCCCACTCTCCTGTCTGCTAGGTTGACTTCACTTGATCCAATTTGTTCTTCTGGAGCAGGGATTTCAAATCCAGTGGAACAAACACCAGTTGGTTCCCTGGAACAACATTTTAGATGATGGAGAAAGAGTCTATCAGATTTCCTGGCCTTTGGCTGAACCAACAGAAAGTAAATCTTATTGGATGCACAGATATAGGCGAAGGCATTTATATAAAATTCCAACTCTGATTGTCCAAATGTAGATGTACCTGTGTGACTGTTTTGCAGTGGTATTAAAAATAGTTCCTTTTTTTAAGAATTATTTTATTTGAAAGACAGAGATACAAGAGAGGGAGAGCCAGAGAGAGAGGTCTTCCATTCCCCTGGTTCATTCCCCAAATGACCGCAAAAGCCAGAGTTGAGCTGATCTGAAGCCAGGAGCCAGGAGCTTCTTCCAGGTCTCCCACGTGGGTGCAGGGACCCAAGGACTTGGGCCACCTTCTACTGCTTTCCTAGGCCATAGCAGAGAGCTGGATTGGAAGAGGAGCAGCCGGGACACAAACTGGTACCCATCTGGGATGCCGGCACTGCAAGTTGGGGCATTAACCCATTGCGCCACAGCACCGGGCCCTGAAAAACAGTTTCATAAGAATCACTTACTCTATAGTGCACTGCCTTAAGTATTTTGCTCTCTTATCAGTGGGTGGTGGCCTTGCTCCAGGAACCTGGGCAGAGATTGGCCAAGGTCAAGGTTCAGGGTTCAGGGGCACAGCTGCCCAGGACAGACAGAGACCCCCACTCAGGGCTCTTAAGTAAATGCCCTGACCACACTGTATGTGACAGTGAGGGTTTAGGATGTGGGTGGTGGGATCCCAGGGGGAAGCCCTGCTCTTCCTGGCACTGGAAAGCCCTCAGCTTAAGGACTGACTCCTGCCCTACAAGGTGTCCATGATCACACCACTCAGTGAGAGGACTTGTGGGGAGATGGACCCACGGTGTCTATTTGTCTATTATTTATTTATTTGAAAGGCAGTACAGAGGCAGAGAGAGAGACAGAGAGACAGAGAGAGACAGAGAGGTCTTCCATCTGCCGGTTCACTCCCCAAATGGCTGCAATGGCCGGAGCTCCACCGATCCGAAGCCAGGAGCCAGGAGCTTCTTCCAGGTCTCCTACATGGGTGCAGAGGCCCAAGGACTTGGGCCATCTTCTACTGCTTTCCCAGGCCATAGCAGAGAGCTGGATCAGAAGTGGAACAGCCGGCCAGCGCCGCGGCTCACTAGGCTAATCCTCTGCCTTGCGGCGCCAGCACACCGGGTTCTAGTCCCGGTTGGGGCGCCGGATTCTATCCCGGTTGCCCCTCTTCCAGGCCAGCTCTCTGCTGTGGCCAGGGGGTGCAGTGGAGGATGGCCCAAGTGCTTGGGCCCTGCACCCCATGGGAGACCAGGAAAAGCACCTGGCTCCTGCCATCGGATCAGCGTGGTGCGCCGGCCGCAGCGCGCCGGCCGCGGCGGCCATTGGAGGGTGAACCAACGGCAAAGGAAGACCTTTCTCTCTGTCTCTCTCTCACACTGTCCACTCTGCCTGTCAAAAAAAAAAAAAAAAGTGGAACAGCCAGGACCTGAATTGGCGCCCGTATGGGATGCTGACACTGCAGTCCGTGGCTTTACCTGCTACGCCACAGTGCCGGGCCCTTGAGGTTTTTTTGTGTGTTTTTTTTTTTTTTTTTGCTTAACACTTTGGGTATATCAATCCACTGCCTTGCTGCCTCTGAGACTTCTGATGAGAAATCTTCTGGTAATTTTATTGAGAATAATTGTATGTGACAGATTGCACCCATAAGGGATGCCGTCACTGCAGGCAGTGGCTTTACCCACTACGCCACAGCGCCAGCTCCTCCATGGATTTTTTGAAGTACCACAGCAGTACAGTTATCTGAGATGTTACTATTTGGGATAACTAGGCAAAGTGTTTATGGGATCTCAACATATTCTTTCTTTAAAAAAAAAAAGATGTATTTATTTGAAAAGTATCCGAATGCTAGAGAGAGAGAGAGAGAGAGAGAGATTGATTCCCTGGTTCACTCCCCAAATAGCTGCAACAGCCATGTGTGGGACAGACTGAAGCCAGGAGCCAAGAGCTTCAACCAGCTCCCCGATGTGGGTGGCAGGGACCCAAGCACCTGGATCATCATTATCTGTGGCTTTCTCTGCAGCATTAGCAGTGAGCTGGATTGGAAGCAGAGCAGCAGGGACTCAAACTCAGGTAGGGGATGCCAGTGTTGCAAGTAGCAGCTTAACCCGCGGTGCCACCACGTTAGCCCCAGTGTGTTATCTCTCATACTCTTGTGAATTTGCACTTTTCTCAAAATTAAATTAATATCCTTAAAGGTTTTAAAATGAAAAATCAGACAGAAGTGTCTGCTTACCATTTGCTGTGAGTGTAGATGCTACGTAAAGTTTTCTGATTTCACACACACACACACACACACACACACAAATACACAAATACAGAAGGAGAGGTGGGATGAAACTTAGTAAGGATGTATGCTTATGGCCTTGATGGTGGTCATGGTTTCATGGTATATTCTTACCCCACACTCATGAAGATGTAAATACACACAGCTTTTTACATGTTAGTCTCACTGAATAAAGTGGGTTTTCTTTCTTTCTTTTTTTTAAAGAAAGCTAAATGGGGCCGGTGCTGTGGTACAGTGGGTTAACACCCTGGCCTGAAGCACCAGCATCCCATATGGGCACCGGTTCTAGTCCTAGCTGCTCCACTTCCGATCCAGCTCTCTGCTGTGCCTGAGAAATCAGTGAAAGATGGCTCGAGTCCTTGGGCCCCTGCACCTGTGTGGGAAACCCAGAGAAGCTCCTGGCTCCTGGTTTTGGATCGACATGGCTCTGGCTGTTGCAGCCAATTGGGGAGTGAACCAGCAGATGGAAGACTTTTCTCTCTCTCTCTCCCCCTCTCTCTTTCCCTCTCTCCCTCTCTCTGTGTAACTCTTTCAAATAAATAAATAAATCTTAAAAAAAAAAAAAGCTAAACAACTATTATAGCAGCAGCATTAACTCTAGACGGATCTATCAGGCAGTTCCCAGGTGCCAGGCCCTGCTGTAAGCTCTGGGGACACAGCAGAAACTCATACAGACAGAAACTCCTGCCCTGTGGAGCCAGCGTTGTAACACAATGGGCTCATCCCAGGCTTCGTTCATCAGGGCTTCCTGAAACGCAAGTGATGACATAAATGCTTATGACGTGCAGTTGGTGACTTAAGTGTTTGCATTCTCAGTTCCCCAAAGTAGAGCTGCTCAGGTTTTCCTGGGCTGCTGGACAAGACCCAGAAAAGAAGTGTGACGAGGGCAACTTTGTCCCAAAGCGTGAGTGAGTGAGTCATTCTCCATTCTAGGGTTCAGCAAAACAATTGCCCCTCACTACTACTCCCTGGGAGTTGGTTCCAGGAATTTTCATAGATACCAAAATCTGCTTGGGGGCCGGCGCTGTGGCGCAGTGGGTTAACGCCCTGGCCTGAAGCGCCGGCATCCCATATGGGCACTGGTTCAAGACCCGGCTGCTCCACTTTCGATCCAGCTCTCTGCTATGGCCTGGGAAAGCAGTAGAAGATGGCCCAAGTGCTTGGGCCCCTGAACCCATGTGGGAGACCCGGAAAAAGCTCCTGGTTCCTGGCTTAGGATTGGCACAGCTCCGGCCGTTGCAGCCATCTGGAGAGTGAATCAGTGGATGGAATCTCTCTCTCTCTCTCTGTCTCTCTGCCTCTCCTCTCTCTGTGTAACTCTGACTTCCAAATAAATAAATAAATCTTTTTTAAAAAAAAATCTGCACATGTTCCAGTCCCTTATGAAAGTTGGGATAGTGTTTGCATAGAGCCTACACATATTCTCCCATAACTTTATTCCATCTCTAGCATGCTTATAATACCTACTGCAATGCAAAACCCACGTAAACAGTTGCTCTACTGTTTTGTTTAGGGAATGACAAGAAGAAAATCTGTGAATTTTTTTTCCTGAACAGATGGTTGAATCCAAAGACGTGGAGCCCACAGAGAGAGGGACCAGCCTGTACCTGTAAAATTTAAATATATGTTCTAGGTGACACACTTGGACAAAAAAAATCTAACACACTTCTTTTTGTACACTTGCTTGCTCTAGGCTGAGTGTCCACCTAAGAAACTGTAAGCACGACTGGTTGCCACAGAGATGATGCAGGTGTGATTGGTGAACCACAAGTCCCAGCTAGTGCTCCCAAAGAAAGACGCATCTCCAGATCACTCCAGCGCCCTGGAAACTCACAGACGTGGAGACGGAAGATGCAGCCCGCAGACAGAAGACGGGAGCTGCCCAAGCGCTGAGGGGTGCGGAGCCTTTGCAGCCAGCTCTGCCGGCCTCTGAGCGTCTGTCGGCCATGGCCTGTAACAGCACGTCCCTCCAGATTTACGAACACCGGCTGCTCAATGGCAGCAACGGGTCGGACTCCGGGGCCACGCCCCTGCCCGCCCCGCTCAGGATATCCCTGGCAATAGCAATGCTGCTGATGATCGCGGTCGGTTTCCTAGGCAACACCGTGGTCTGTATCATAGTGTACCAGAGGCCGGCCATGCGCTCCGCCATCAACCTGCTGCTGGCCACACTGGCCTTCTCCGACATCATGCTGTCCTTATGTTGCATGCCCTTCACCGCCGTCACCCTCATCACCGTGCGCTGGCACTTTGGGGACCACTTTTGCCGGCTGTCGGCCACGCTCTACTGGTTTTTCGTCCTGGAGGGCGTGGCCATCCTGCTCATCATCAGCGTGGACCGCTTTCTCATTATCGTGCAGCGCCAGGACAAGCTGAATCCCCGGCGGGCCAAGGTCATTATCGCAGTCTCCTGGGTGCTGTCTTTCTGCATCGCGGTCCCCTCACTCACCGGCCGGACGTTCGTGGAGGTGCCCGCACGGGCCCCGCAGTGTGTGCTAGGCTACACCGAGCTGCCTGCAGACCGCGCGTACGTGGTGATGTTGGTGGTGGCCGTGTTCTTCGTGCCCTTCGGGGTCATGCTGTGCTCCTACCTGTGTATCCTCAACACAGTCCGGAAGAACGCCGTGCGCGTGCACAACCAGTCGGACAGCCTGGACCTCAGGCACCTCACCAAGGCCGGCCTGAGACGGCTGCAGCGGCAGCAGCAGGTCAGCCTGGACTTGAGCTTCAAAACCAAGGCCTTCACCACCATCCTCATCCTCTTCGTGGGCTTCTCGCTCTGCTGGCTGCCCCATTCCGTCTATAGCCTCCTGTCTGTGTTCAGCCGGAGGTTTTACTACAGCGCCTCCTTTTACAACACCAGTACCTGCATCCTGTGGCTCAGTTACCTCAAGTCTGTCTTCAACCCCATTGTCTACTGCTGGAGGATAAAAAAATTCCGTGAGGCCTGCATAGAGTTGCTACCCCAGACCTTCCAGATCCTTCCCAAAGTGCCTGAGCGGCTTCGAAGGAGAATCCAGCCAAGCACAGTCTATGTGTGCAACGAAAACCAGTCTGCTGTTTAGGGCAGGGCAGAAGGGGCAGTGCGGGGCCCCAGTGTCCAGCACCAGGTTTTCCAGTCCTTTCCGGCACTTTTGTCATTTGTCTGCATTGTGTGGTGACTACTGTCTAAGCACAAGAGGACTCATCTGACAACAGATGAGCTTCGGCTCCCAAATCACAAATTTCAGCAAGGTGAATTGGGCTTTGACAGGCATTGCAAGGTGGTTGAGGCCAAACAGGCGTGGGGTAGGGGAGAGCAGAAGTGGGGCAGAGAGTTAGGGAAGAGGAGGGAGGCAGCAAGGGAAAGTGGTTGAAGATGGGGCAGGCAGAGATGGAAAATCCCGAGTCTGCCAGTCTGAGCCTCCCTTGACATCTGCTGGAGAGAAACCCCTGGTGCCATATTCTGATGGGAGAAACCCAAGGAGGTGCCATCTCACGGGTCAACATCACTCCTTGGATGCTTGCATTCTTCAGAGTTCTTTAGGCTTATGGTGTACGGGGAATCAGGCAAGCTTCCTGTTCACTGGTCAGTTGTGCATTTCCGACCACGCCAAATCATCCTTTCTAGAAAGAAACCAAACTCCCACTGGGAAGCAGAGCGGGCCCCTGGGTTTTGGAGGAAGATGCAGCCGGCAGACAGAAGACGGGAGCTGCCCAAGCGCTGACGGGGGCAGAGCCTTTGCAGCCAGTGTGGTGTGTGGGAGGGCTCAGGGGTCTGAGGCACACAGGAGATTCTGCTACAGCTCAGCCTGAATTGAGAAGCCCACCCGTGTCACATGTGTGTCTTCAGTCCTGCCCCTATGCCTGGCCCAAGCCAGCTGCTCTTCTGCCACTTCCCTCCTTCCCTCCACCCATTACCACACCTCCCTCTGTTCACGTCTCCTGCATTTGCAGTGGGGTGCAGAAGCACCTGCAAGAACCCAACCATTGACTACATGCAGTGACTCGCTTCGGTGTCGGGAGCCGGTGTCGTCGCTGGCTTTGTTTACACATTGCCCCTGCACACCCTGAGCGGGGCTCCAGAGCCCCCGTGAGTCACCAGATCCGTTCTACGTGGAGTGCTGCTGCAGGGGGCCCCATCGACCTCTGTGCTCCTCCTACCTCACTCAGATCCGCTGCTGCCGACTGTGCACCTGCCCTGGACCGTGCTGGGGAGTGAAGCTGCCTAGAGAAGAGCCCCCTGCTTGGGCTGGACCTTAGCCTCCACGCCCACGTCCATGCGACGTCACTGGGAGCTCCCCACTTGGGAAGCCCTGAGTCCTTTGAGCTCTCTCTGCAGTCTCTGATCTGGAGAGAGTGGGGCATTTCAGGAGTGGTTTGGGAAGTCTGATTCCAGGTCTGACTGTGACAGCCACTGGTGGTGTGACCGTCTCGTTTCACCTCACCTCTCTGGCTCTGTTTCCTCATCGGCCAAGCCTAAAAAAGCGGGTCTGGATCTCCAATGTCCTCACCATCCCTCAAGCGCTCTGATTCTAAAACGGGTGTTTTCTACCCAGTCACCAGGTTCCCCTGCATCCACCTGTTGTCCCACGTAACGAGCATCTATTAAGTGCCTACGAGGTGTAAGGCACTGTTAGGGAGCCAGCGATGAGTAAGGCCGGGGTCCTGCCCAACAGCTGCCCAGTCTATCTCAGCATCATGGTAACTCAGCCCCAGGGCACAGAAGCTCCAGGTTTGCTTCCGGTCGAACTTCTTTTTATGGTGTATTAAGAGGCCAGCTCCCCTCCTTACCTTTGACAGTGAGGCAGAGGGCAGGGAAGGAAAGGGAGTGAGAAGAAGAGCCTAATTCACATTAACCTAAGCCTGGAGGAGGGCTTGGCAAGAAAATCATTGATACTTGTTATCACCAATGTCACCTTCCTGTTATATCCAGGATTGAAAGAGAGAGAGAGAGAGAGAGAGAGAGAGAGAGAGAGAGAGAGAGAGAGAGAGAAACACAGGCAACTGGTATGGGATTGATTGAAGAGGGTCCTGTCAATTCTGTATCCAGAGTGTACCCAGCAAGGTCCGGATTTGCCCTTAGTTCCCATGGGGCAGAACTGGTCACAGGGTCCTGCGGTGCCCACCAAGGGGACCACGCCCATGGGCACCTCCTCCTCTCAGGTGGGCATTTAGGGACATTTTCTTCAGGAAACTTGAGCAAAAGAGAAATCACAAAACTGAGTGAATGAAGGAACCAATATCTCCACCCGTCAGTGTTGTGTGATGTATGTTGCCCAGTAATATGTAAGTTTCAGAGTAATAATTTTGTATATATTTTAAATAAAGTATCACTGCTCTTTCAGTGTACATCCGGGTCAGTTTGTCATTACTGTCTTTGGAGAGGAGCTTCCATAAGGAGGAAGAGGATTATTTTGCCTTATGGTTTGGAGGTTCATGGGTGACCCCATCAATTCTGGAAGAATCACACAGTGGAAGATCACACAGTGAACCAGGGAGCAGAGGGGGAAGTTACCCTGACCTTGGCTTCCATAACCAGCCCTCTCTTGAAGACTACCTTTCAAGGGCATGCCCCCAGGGACCTAAACAAGTCCATTAGGCCCACCTCCCAGATGCCATCATTAGGTAAGTCTCCACCCTTCACCCATCAAGCCATTAGCAGTTAACTAAGACTTTAAACATCTGCATGAGTTCGGAGAGCCAGATCCCATTCAAAGTTTCACAGGTGTCTAAGACCACGCTGCTGCCAAAACTCACACCAAGCCCACGACAGCAATGTCCAGCGCCTCTGTGTTGTCATCCATGCTGTTGCTGTAACAGAACATCCTGGACTGGCCTTTTATTAGTGTTAGAAATGTGTTCCTTGGGGCCGGCGCTGTGGCACAGCAGGTTAAAGCCCTGACCTGAAGCGCCGGCATCCCATATGGCGCTGGTTCTAGTCCCAGCTGCTCCTCTTCTGATCCAGCTCTCTGCTATGGCCTGGGAAAGCAGTAGAAGATGGCCCAAGTCCTTGGGCCCCTGCACCTGCATGGGAGACCTGGAGGAAGCTCCTGGCTCCTGGCTTTGGATCGGCGCAGCTCCAGCCATTGCGGGCATCTGAGGAGTGAACCAGCAGATGGAAGATCTCTCTCTCTCTTCTCTGTCTCTACCTCTCTCTGTAACTCTGTTTCAAATAAATAAAATAAATCTTTAAAAAAAAAGAAGAAAAAAGATATGTGTTTCTTACCGGTTTTGGAGGCTGAGGGGCTCAAGATCAAGGCAAGACAGCTCTGGTGTGTACACGAGTGTGTGAGCACGTGGGTGTGTGAGCATGTGGGTGTGTGCAGGTGGTGTGGGCACATGCCCCAGGTTCCTCTGGGACTAGCAGAGGCACCAGAGACTGCCTGCCATGTCCACAGTGCACACTAGTGGCTGGGGCACAGTTACGCTTCTCCCTGTTAGCCTGATGGGAACAGAAAGAACTGTTCTGTAGGGGACATGCTGAGGTGAGACCAGAACGTTCCCTCTGGCTCTATGAAACTGAGGCCACTGATCCGTGTAGGTCAACCCCTGAAGATCCGCAGGCCCCTCTGATACGAACAACTCACCTGCTCTGGTTCTTTGTGCTCCATCTCTGTGTGCTGTTTGAAACTTTCTCAGTCTAGGGGAAAATGACCAAGTTCGCCCTTGGAAGCGTTTTCTAAAAGCAAGCCTTGCTGCTCTGAGGCGTCGACCTGCGGGAGTGTGCGTTGAAACACCACCACCTCTTCCCTCGGATTTGGCGGTGCCGTCACGAAGCCTTCGGAGGCTTTATTATACTAGGATGAAGGGGCTCACAGCTCACCGTGGAAGACAAACAAGACTGAACAATTTAAAAAGGGATCGGGACAAACGGAAAGAGTCATCCGCTTTTACAGAGATCAGAAGTAAGGAGTGGGGGGTGAGGGGGACACGGTGCCAGGAGGCGCTTTCTCCCCAAGGCCACCAGAGTCGCTCTGGCATTGCACCAGCCTCCCAGGAGAGGTGCTAGTCTTGCCTGCCAGGATTCGCAGGTGCCCCTCCAAACCTGCACAGGTGACGGCTGGCAGGCACCCTCGGATTTCTCTCCCGTCCATCCAGAGGAGCACTCGGGCTCTCCCCGGAGATAACGCACCGCAAGCTTCTGTGGCCAAATCTCTTGCAGGTGCACCCGAGCCTCCTCTGTCTTACACATCTCTCCATTCCTGACCTTCTTCCCTAGTGGCTTAGTCTGTTTCCTGTTGCTGGAACAGAATACCCGAGACCGGGTAATCTCAGAAGTGTATTTTGTCTCGTGGTTCTGGGGGCTGGAAGTGGAAGTCCAGGGAGCAGCAGGGAGGGCCACGCTTCTCCAGCTCCTGATGGAAATTCAGAGAGGCAGCAGGTGCGTGCAGAACAGACAAAACGCAGTCTTCTTTCATAACAAGCCGGTCCATTGCCGCGGGAGCAAGAACTCACATACGAAAGATGCGAATCCATTTGCCGGGGCTTGGCCCTCATGCCAAACACCTCCCACCAGGCCCCTTTTTATTTATTTATTTATTTATTTATTTATTTATTTTTTTGACAGGCAGAGTGGACAGTGAGAGAGAGAGACAGAGAGAAAGGTCTTCCTTTGCCGTTGGTTCACCCTCCAATGGCCGCCGCGGCCGGCGCGCTGCAGCCGGTGCACCGCGCTGATCCGAAGGCAGGAGCCAGGTGTTTCTCCTGGTCTCCCATGCGGGTGCAGGGCCCAAGTACTTGGGCCATCCTCCACTGCACTCCCTGGCCACAGCAGAGAGCTGGCCTGGAAGAGGGGCAACCAGGACAGAATCCGGCGCCCCAACCGGGACTAGAACCCGGTGTGCTGGCGCCGCAAGGTGGAGGATTAGCCTAGTGAGCCGTGGCGCCAGCCCCAGGCCCCTTCTTCAGCAAAATTCAGATCACTCTGAGCCACAACTTTGTGGCTTGGTTTTTTCTTTCCCTCCCTCCCTCCCTCCCTTTCTTCCTGTTTTGAAATGATTTGGATGCATAGTAGCCTCCCACAGTGTGGAAGACCTTCAAGTACTCCTTGTTTTGGATATTTGGGGATTTTTTTCTTTTCCTTTCCTTTTCGCTATTTTTAAAATGCTGTAATGAGCAACTTTGACATAAGTGTCCCTGCCTAGCTGCTGATTGTCTTCCTAAAATAAACTTTCAAATGTGCCTCGGCGGCCTTGAATGCCATAAGAAATTGTTCTTCCGAAAGTTTGTCTCCAGTGATTCTCCCACCAGCTGAGCACAAGAATCACGGAAAGCCAATGGTGCTGTGGCGTAGTGGGCTAAGCCTCTGCCTGAGGCACCAGCATCCCACATGGGCGCCAGTTCAAGTCCCAGCTGCTCCACTTGCCATACAGCTTCCTGCTAATGGCCTGGGAAAGCAGTGGAAGGTGGCCCAAGTCCTTGGACCTCTGCACCTATGTGGGAGACCAGGAAGAAGCTCCTGGCTCCTGTTCAGATCGGCCCAGCTCCGGCCGTTGCAGCCATTTGAGGAGTGAACCAGCAGATGGAAGACCTCTCTGTTTCTCTCTCTGCAATTCTGCCTCTCAAATAAATAAATAAATGGCATAGTGTTTAAGATGCCATCCTATATCACGTCCCATCTCAGAGTGCCTGGGCTTGAGCCACGCTCTGCTTCCAACTCCAGCTTCCTGCTAATGTGCAACCTGGGAAGTGACGGCTCCAGAACTTGGATCCCTGCCAGCGACGTGACACATCTGGATTGAATTCCTGTCTGGCCTTGGCCAGGCATTGGCTGTTGTAGGCATTTGGGGAGTAAACAGCCAAAGAGAAATCTTTCTCCATCTATCTCTGGCTCTCTGCCTTTTAAATTAATCAAAATAAATTAAGATGTTAAGTTCATTTAAAATTTTGAAATTCCTGCCTATAAGTTCACAAAAGGTACATGTTACAGGAAACACTACATGAAGTTAAAATATTTCTGTGCAAAATTAAACTCATCTCTTACTTTCATTTTCCATGAATTTTCTAAGTGCCCCCATGTTACCCATTGTGGGGAGCAACTCGGACTAGACTGTTACTCGAATTAAGACTTATTCTATGCATCTGCTCTCCCACAATATGGCGCTGGGAGAGGAGGAAACAGCTTCTGTCGCTCCCCCTCTTCGTGGAGGAACGACACAGGACCCTGCGCTGTTCTTTCGTCTGCTCGGCCCTCCCCGGGTTTGCTGCTGGTTCTTCCCGGGTTGGCTACTGTCCCTTCCACCTCCGTGGAAGGGCGGTTCCCCCTGGCCGCTTTCCTCACTTCCGCAGGGGAGCAGCACACCGCCGGCCGGCTCTCTCGGGGGCTGCACAGGTGTTCCCCTTAGATGTTCCCCTTAGATGTTCCCCCTAGATGTTCCTGGTGCATGCCGTCTCTCTCCTCCTTTATAGTCCTCCTCTGCCAATCCCAACTCGGCTGCCCACACGCCGAGTACGCCGCTCTCCTCCAATCAGGAGCAAGTCCTACAGTTTATTGGTTGAACTGGAGGCAGCTGTGTAGAAGCTGTTTTCTTCTCTCCCAGCGCCATACTGTGGGAGAGCAGGTGCATAGAATAAGTCTTAATTCCAGCAACAGTCCAGTCCGAGCCGCTCCCCACAGATCCCCCTTTCTTTTTATTTTTTGGCGTTGATACGCGCCTGTCTTCGGTGTCCCGCGGCACACACTCTGCTCTACTTGCTAGAGTTGCCACAGGTTCTTACAAGTCCTATCAATCAGGCAAACCGAATCCGGGTCCTCTCTTCGCCATGTTGTGAGGAGGTTTTTAGGCGCTGATGCGTGCCTGTGTTCGGTGCCCTGCAGCGCATGCTCTACTCTGCTAGAACTGCCTGCAGGTGCTTACAAAACCTATCAGGCAAACCGAATCCAAGCCTTCTCAGCGCCATATTGTGGGGAGGCTTATTGGTGTTGATTCGTGCCTATCTTCGGTGACCTGCAGCTCATACTCTGGTCGAGCCGCCTGTTGGTGCTTACCGCCCTAATCAGGCAGACCGAATCCAAGCCTTCTCATTGCCATGTTGTGGGGTGACTTATTGGTGTTGATAATGTGCCTGTTTTCGGTGACCTGCGGCGCATAAGCTGCTAGCCGCCCGCAGGTGCTCACTGCCTCACTAATCAGGCAGACCGAATCCAAGCCTTCTAATTGCAGTATTGTGGGGAGGCCTTTCTATTTCTCTATTTCTCTATCTCCGGGCATTCCTATTTCTCCCATTTTACTTCTGTCTGCCAACATTCCTATTTCTCTCATTTTACTTCTAAACTTCTGTTTCTCTTATCCCTGCGGCTTCCCGCTCTCGTTTTACTTCTAAACTTCTGTTTCTCTTATC